TTACTCGTTACACTTCATTATTTAACATGAAAACAATAGCAATGCAACTACAATACTTATTACAGACGTAAAATGCTTGTAAACATTAATTCAGCTGTCAATTCCCAATTGTGTAGTTACCAACTTACCACGAGTTCTCAAGGTCAGTAAAGTTACTGTCAAAAAGTTCGCCAACGCACTTGTAACTCCTCTAGTGCTTCGAATGTTCAGGAGCGGAAATGACTTACCATCAGGTGAAATGTCTTGCCTTATACTCTACAAAATAAATATACCTTTTCATGTAATAGGAATCAAGCATCTATTACCTGATGGTAAGTAATCGGCGTTCCCCTTGGACACCCGCAGTAACAGAAGAGTACGAGTGCGTTGCCGACCTTTTAAAAGTAACATTTCTTTTTCATGATTGTGTTTCGGAGATTTAGGTTAAGGATTTAGGGGAAGGGGAAGAATGATTGGGTTTTCGATAATCTCATTCACACGGTGAAACACAACGCTGTGGTTGTTTCACGCTAGTTTTCTGTGAGGTCGTGGTATCAATCGTGTTAAGCCAACCCATTTGTGCTGAAACATGGTTCACCGTACATCACAGACTACTCAACCTATTCACCCATACTTACAAAAACGTACCATATATTTCAGTTCTTTTATAACTTAGCAAAGTACTAAATGTCAGATCGATGGCATGTGGGAAAGTTCCTATGTTTGCCATCGATTCGCCCCCCATGCTTCGACGGCGCGCCTTCTTTTGTTATGAAATAGGACACCGTTTCCAATACCTATTCTTTGTGGAATTGTGTGGATCAATGTCTATATGAATGATTAATAATCGGTGTATAACTTGCTCATTACAACACTAACGTAAAAAAATTTTACTTGACTTTCTCTTTAAGATTTTCTCCTGTTTCGTAGGTGGTGGTGGTTTACAAACATACAATTTTACATACACATCACACCCAAACCCGGAACAACAATGTATAAATCACACAAGGTCGTCAAGCCACCACGTCAACTGTGCGGTCATTATTTTAATTGACACAGATTTTGCAAAATGTAATGAGTTTCTAATTTATAGCCCAGAAAAAATAAAAGACCTGAAATATTGAACCCAAAAGTAAAAAAATATATCCTAACAAATAGTTTTCAAAATGCTTTATAAAAACAAATCAAATCCAGTATCAAGTACACTAGTAGTGGTCTAATTAAACAGGATATCATAGTTAATAGTAACACTGTAACTGGAGTAGTACTTACATAAACTACATACAAGTCGAACCTGTTTCACATGCGCAGGCGCCACGGCCTTCGCAAATGAACTTGTGATCGATAAGAGGTCGATATACTAGCACAGATTAAACAAAATCTATTCTTAAACATGTGTGTGTATTTTATCAAATACATATAATATGTGATTCGCGCGGTTTCACTTGCTACTCGACTTTTTTTGAGCGTAGCGCAGTGCACTACTTTTAGGGTTTCCATTCCACCGAAGAAAAGTAAAGTAAAAATTATATAATTAGCGTGCAATTGGGAAGTGTCTAATGTATAATATAATGTCCAGCAGTGGACGAAATCAGGCTGTTGATGATGATCTAATTATCAAGCTGTCTCCCTCCCTGCCTGAATCGGAATGAAGTATCGGACTAACTGATTAAAAACCACCACGAATTGTTTATGCACCATTTTTCTAAGTCCGTAGTGCGTTTAATATTCGGTATAGACTATTTTAATTCAAATTAAATAATATAAATAGTTTTTTTGCCTATCTATGTAAATGTTATGTAATGCACTTAACTATGTTAATGTGTAGGTATATCTAAAACTGGATTCCTGTTTGACTGGTTCTCTTGTGAATAATTTTGCTTAATATGGCATCTATTAACACAACGAGACTAATGTCTTAAGTACATAATTTATTATTGGAAGATAAAGTGAAGTTGAACAATTGAAAAGAATAAAATTAATACGTTTTTCCTTAGGATGAGTAACAAATATTAGTAAATGGATAAAAACTTAAAAGTACTTCAGACAATAACTAGTCATAAGTATTATGAAAAGACGTCTTTAAATCTGCATAGGAGTCAACCAAGGTACATTACAGGTATAATACAAACCTAATTTCAATGATTTCTCTCGTAACCCCTAGGTTGACCGGGCATTATTAGTTAGTTATTCTATTCATAAACCAGTTTGACTCACTGAACACAATTACTTAAAATCTGATTCACACATTAAAATTAATAAAACATTAGTCATTTCAGTAAAATTCAAACAAAACATTCAACAAAATGCTTCAAAAATAATCAGTCAGTGCTGTCGTTAAATGTCAATCACCTTTCTTCAGTAAATGCTGAAATTACTGTAATTTGTTTGTTGAAGTCACGAAATAAACTCGTTAGATTAGGTACAATCCGTAAAGTTCCCAATGGTCAGACTTTCAGAGTAAAATACGACTTTGCTATGTACCTAAATTAGGTACATTGCTAAGTCGTATTTACATTTAATGTAAGTACATCAAAACTAAAATATACAGCCTTTTTACACCTATGAAAATTTCATGTTTCACACAAATTGAGCAATATATTTTTATAATAAGCCGGCGGTATTTATTTATTTATATTATGTAGTACAGTACTAAACTAATAACACTACTCAATTCCCAATTAGGCAATATACTTAATATAGGCACATAATTAAAAGAAAAAAACATAATATCATTGGTCTTCATTACCTCTAGTCATTTTGGAAATAACGCAACAATAATTCAAACCACTCACACATTTTCAAACTCTGTCACCTTTGGATTTTGTCAATAGTACTTAACATTAGGCATGATGTCCCGTAGTTAGGTACTGACAAGAAGTTTATTTATTGTCCAAATGATATGTGCTCGGGGTCAATAAACTTAGCTTCGTGTATGTATGAAACCACGAATTTATGCGTTACTACCTAGCAACACCAGTAGATAACTGTTTAATAAAGTATTGCATATCTTTTATCACTGATTTTCAGATGGCATGATTTCATGATTTTCTGCGCTCAAAACCGAAAAAAATTGTAAATTACAAATAAATTGTGAATGAAAATGAACCATGCCCCTTTTGACACTCACGTACACACGTAATAACGAGGGCTCGACCGATAATTACCACACTAACATGTAAAAAAGGCGTGTGAATATTGTAGAAATTGACTTCCGTCTGACTTAGAAGGTTCTAGATTAGTTAGTATATAGATTAAAGAGATTTAAGTAGATTTATCCATTTGTAATCTTAATCTACTGAATTCAGACTTCTGTTTCTTGCATACAATCGCACCTAACATACCTACCCAATTAGTGGGTATTATCGTGTACTGAAATGTTAAGTAGTTTAGAATTTTTGTTTTTAAAATCTAACGTATGTTAGGTTCAGAGATTTTGCTTAATCAGGATCTTCGACTTAGAGCAAGCGTCGCGATAGCTCTAGGCTATGTATAAACTTAGGCTAGTAAACTTAAGTTACTATAAAACTCTTTTTAAAAATTTGAAATCGGTAACGACGCCCGGTAACATAGAATAAACATTATAAAGTGGTTAGAAACGCCATCTATTATCATTTCATATAAAACATTCGACTTTAAGTCCGAAAAATTTGAACTAAGAATCCATGAATGCTTCAAAATTCAAATTTATTTTTTAACAATTCACCATTGACAGAACACGTGTCTTTTTATACACAAGTCTGCCTGTGAGATTCATAACAAAACAAAAGAGGTTCAACAACCTTTTATTTCCCTACATATCTTTCAACAAAGTAAATATAATGCACGTGGACTCGCCAATACCTATTGCCAGATGATATTAATCATTGATAAACAAGAAAAGTATATGTAATTAATATATTTATTTATGAGATAGGTCGGTAAACGAGCAGTTGGATTACCTGATGTTAAGCAATCTACGCCCTTGTGCAATATATCAGAAAGTAACGAGTGCGTTGCCGACCTTTCGGAGGTTTAGTCATTAGGGAGAGATGGGGGAGGGGAAGGTTTGGGTCTCCGGCTACCTCACTCACACGGCGAAACACAACGCTGTGGTTGTTTCACGCCGGTTTTCTGCGAGGCCGTGGTATCACTCCAGTCGAGTCGACCCATTCGTGCCACTGTCTGTCGTAGTCAGATTATTTAATCACTAGGCTCCGTTGGTAATCATTGTGGAAGACGTCCACTGCTGAATAAAGGCCCTTAGTCATCCACGTCGAACGACAACGCGCATCTTGGGTCCACTATGGCTCCCCAACTTTCCTCGCTTACTTTACATAAATAAATAACTTCGCTAAAGTAATTATAAGTTCCGTTCTTCCGTCCAATCAAAACCGTCGACTTCCTCGATCCAATTATTGGGAACAGGAAGATTGTCTGTAGACTCTGATGTCAATTTGTCAAGTTTTTTTTTGCGAAGTCAGGAAATTGGCGAACGACCTTGCTCAGCGGCTGGCGGCTGGCCGACCGTAGCTTTGTTATAAGTCAATTACTATTATTACCTATTTAATAAGTAGGAGCACAAGATTACCGGAGACCCAATCCCCATATCTCTCGTAATTTTGGTATTGATTACCATCAGAACATCCGATTGCTTATTTGCCACCTTCTAAAAAGAGGAAATATGCACACTTCATAGGTTTTTTTAGAGTACGACCTATTCTCGCACTGTTTCACCCGCTGCTCAGCTGCATTTGATCGTAGCGTTATGTTTTATATATAGCCTATAGTACTCAGGAACATTGTAGCTATCAGTGAAAGAATTTTGGCAATCCGACCAGCGGTTCCAAAGATTACCCCCTACATACAAACATAAAAATTTTACCTCTTCATAATATTAGTTTAAATAATCTTAGCCTAAGTACTTCTACAACGCCATTATTATCTTCTGAAAAGGATTTGTGACAAAGATTATGAAAAATCTATATATTTCCTTTATACATTGTTCTATGTTTATTAATTAATTATTTCGTTGTTTTCAGATGGACAATCTATTGCGGCCGTGCGCTGACATGGGGATACAGGCTGACCCACTCATTGAATGGAAATACGATGTCGAGAAACAGGTAAATAAATCAACTAAAATATAAATCAAAACAGTATTTTTATTGTCCGTTTTGCATGAATGACACACGGCCAAAAATATTGGAAGAAAACTGAAATATAGCATCTAGGTTCCTTAAGATAAAAGAGATTCATTTGGAACTGCGGGGCTAGCGCAATAAGGTGCTGGGGCCTTGGCCTAAAGCAGGAGAAGGAACTGGGGGGTTTTAGTCATACCTTATACACTTCCTCTCGCCATACCCCGGCAAGAGGTTATACGATGTCTTTCCTCTCACAAAAAAAACAAGATATCAGGTATGAAGTCGGTTAAAGTGTTAAGGATTCCTCCAAATTTCTTTTGAATAAATTCTTGCAAATCTTCTCGATTTAAACCACGTTGGCAATACTGAAAAACTTTAGTTGACTTTTGTTTTTCTTATTTATTTTCGAATATAAATAATATTTTGTTATGTAAGCAAGATGTTAATAGCCGTATTCTAGAGCGGAGAGTCTAGACAAACGTAGTATAGGGCGCCCTCCAGCTAGGTGGACTGACGACATCCGCAAGGTGGCTGGGAGTGGTTTAATGAGAAGACCATCTTCTGACCTGAACATTGAGCTCAGTGGCGTGCAATAGGAGAGGCCTATGTCCAGCAGTAGACAGTATCAGGCTGATGATGATGTAGAAGCGAGATAAAAAATCAGACGCTAACGTCACTAATGAAAATGGGAAAAGAAAATATCAAATCAATATCTAATGTTCCTTAAAAACTATAGACCACTGTATAATAGAACAGTCAATCAATAACAGAATGGTTTATCTAAAACATGACTCACATAGATACGCGATAGATATTAGGGGACGTCCATATTTTATAGTCGACCTTGGATTTGATTACTTTAGTGCTTTATGTACTTTTAAACGATTAACGATAGCGTTGACATATTGTCTTCACATGTAATCTTTGGCCTTTTTTTGAATGGAGAAAGTTATCCATGTTTCTGGCTGGGACGCGATGAATTAGAACTTATTGAAAATGGTCTTGGCAAATTTCTAAGCACTTTTATTCAGGTGATAGAATGGCAAACGAGCAGCGAATGAGGTTAAACAATTGGTGCAAGCCATCACCAGCCATTTCGTACTGAATCATTGATTTTGCACTTGTGAAAAAACTCTAAAACATCTTGGTCAGCAAACGAGCAGACGTATTACCTGATGGCGGATGGCGGAGGAGTTACGAGTACTTTACCTTTAGAGGATTAGGGATTTAGTGATTTATTAATTGGGGGATGGGAAGGATTGGGCCTTCTGCGAACTCACTCACACGCCGAAACAATGCTGTGGCTATTTTACGACGGTTTTCTGTGAGGTCGTGGTATCACTCAGGTCGAGCCGGCACATTCTGGTCGAAGCATGACGCATGGCTCTTCCACACTTATATATCTACTATATGTATACATCTACTAACATTGAGTTCCTATCTGTCTTCAGATCGAGCACATAGTCCTAGGCCGCGGTCCGCCAGGCGGGGCGTGGCACACATTTCCCCCGAGCGTGAGGACTCTGTCTCCTGGCGCCTGGCTCTCCCTGCCACCGCACGCGCCCACCGGCACTGCTCGTCTCTCCGCACGAGCCGTCGCTAAGTACTGCAGGCGATATGTCCACGCTTGTAAATTACAGGTAACTAGTTCTTCCTTTAACTATATTTACAGACTAGCTTACGCCCGCGGTTTTGCTCGCGTGGTATTTTGATAAAAAGTAGCCTATGTCCTATTCCGGAGTGTATTCTATGCCTGTGCCAAACTTCATCCAGATCCGTCCAGCCGTTTTGGCGTGATTGAGTAAAAAACATCCAAACATCGTATTTTTTGCAATTATAATATTAATAAAATTGATTGATAACTGTGTGGCACAGAGGTTAAGGCGCCCGCTTCTCATGCGTGAGGTGCGAAACCTGGCAAGTGCCAATGTGACTTTTCAGATACTTTCTATGATTATTTAGACACCACTGACGTACGGTGAAGGAAATCTTGAGGAAAAGCTGGACTTATAATTTCTAATCATAAGTTTGGAATCGCCAATCCGCCTTGAGGAAGCGCGGTGATTAAATCACAAGTACTACAACAAGTACAACACAAGTATAGGCTGATGATGATGTTGACTGTAGATGAAGGGAAAGAAGAGTTTTTTAATGGAAAAGGGTGGAAGATGATCTGAACGATCACCTGATATGAAATTATTGGCACCTTCCTGGTATATTCGCAAAATTAGAGGTATAATAACTGAGTTTAAGATGAGAATTAGAGATGAAACACAACATAAATGTTTGTTTTACGTCGAATTTCTGTGAGGCCGTGATATCATTCCGATAGGGACGGCCCATTCATGCCAAAGCATGGTTATTACTAAACCTAAATTTGGCAGAGCCATGCTTCGGCACGAATGGGTCGGCTCGACCGGAGTGATACCACGGCCTCACAGAAAACCGGCGTGAAACAACCACAGCGGTGCATTTTGCCATGTGAGTGAGGCTATAGGAGGCCCACTCCTTCCACTCCCGCAATTCCTGCCCAATCCCTAAATATCCTGAATCCCAAAAAGGCCGGCAACGCACTAATAACTTCTGTTGTTACGAGCGTCCATTGGGGACGCTGATTGCTTACCATCAGGTAATCAGTCTGCTCATCGACTGTCTGTCCTATCACACATAAACAAAAATCCTACAGTTCACATGTTCACAAACACTTCCATAGTTGAGTACACAGCTTACGTTAAATATCCGAAAAACAGACGGAGACTGTAGAACATTCTGTTTCTATTGTTATGAAGACAAAACACGTCTCTTTAAGACACAATATCCAGGTTAGTGTTGAGACTTCGTCTACAAACAATTAGACAATGGACTACCGCTAGAAGGATCTGACAGACTAAATACATCGTATTCAAGGCACAATAACATACAAGAACATCAATGTTCCCGTCCAAAGTGGAAGGAAATCCAATCAGACAACAATTTATATTCGTACTTTTGTTAGGAAATGTAGTGACTCATACAAGAGAGAGAGAATAGAATGAAAAATATTTATTTTACGCACAGACACATACCGTGCAGAAAACTACATATTAACAAAACAATAATAAAGAAAAAACAAATAAAAACGGCGTGTATCCCGGCTGCACCAAATAGATCCAGTTCAGCAAAAAATGCCAAGCAATTAGGTTGCCTGGCGTTGGTTTTCAACTGAACCCTAAAACAAAGTGTAGTAGAGGTCAAATTTTCTTCCTGATTCGGGGCCCCTGGCGTCACTTGAAAAATTTTTTGAATGCTAGAGACCCAGCTTTGCACGGGTAAAATGCTGATACTTAATTTCTCTACTATTTAATGGATATCATTATCCATATAACTAAACCCCCCTATCCCTCTTCTATCTTCTATCACTCTATCTATTAAAAAACCGCATCAAAATCCGTTGCGTAGTTTAAAGATTTAAGCATACATAGGGATATAGGGACAGAAAATGCGAAAAACAAGTGTGGGAGAGCCATGCTTCGGCACGAAAGGGTCGAAGTGAGACTCCGACAGCACAGAAAACTCGTGTGTCAATCACACGGCGAAACATACCGTAGGTTTGTCCGCCGTGTGGTTAACAGAGGCCGTATCCTACCCCTCATCCAATCACTAAATCCCCAAAACTCTTATCCCCAAAAGGTCGGCAACGCACTCGTTGTAACTCTTTCGTTGTTACGGTTGTCCATGGGCGGCGCTTATGTCCTATCACCTAAAAAGCGACTTTGTTTTATACTATGTAGTGATAATGTGTTATTGTTTTCAGAAATTCTTCCGTTGCGGCGTGACAGTGACGAGCGTGACGCGTATCCCGCAGTCGGACGCGCCACGCTGCCACAACGCACACTGCCCTCTTAATGCACGGTTCTGCGTACAGGGGTAAGCAGTATATCTTAATTAATAATCATATTAAACGAATAGAAGGATTACTTGATGGTAAGCAAGCATGTAGTGTCGTGGTGGCCCGTAGGTTAAGGAGCCCGCTTCTCATGCATGAGGATGTGGGTTCGAAATCTGGCAAGTACTAATGTGACTTTCCGATTTATATGTAATTTCTATGATTATTTAGACACCACTGACATACGGTGAAGAAAAACATCGTGTGGTAACCTAGGCTTATAATTTCTAATTATAACTTTGAAATCGTCAAGCCAAGGTTTATGCATCATCAGCCTATAAGTGCCCACTGCTGAGCAAAGGCTTGAGCTTCTCACACGGTGTAAAGCGGATTGGTGATTTCAAAAATCTTTACCCTAATCGAAGTAGCCCAGGAGTGATGGGGGGAGGGCAAGGATTGAGGTATCCTCACTCACACCGCAAAAGTAAACGCGATGGTTGTTTCACCGTGTTGTCACTGCTATCGACCCAGTCGTGCCAAAGGGTTCTTTCACACTTAATTTGTTACATTAGTTTGAATTAATAAAAATGTCTGTCTATTTAGTAGGTATCCAGGTTTAAAAAAACCCTTCTCTTCTTTATACATGGCCCTCTTATATGGAAAGCTTTAACATGTGTTTTATTTACTTGTAGATACGACAACTCGTCGTGTCGCCCGTTCCGCTACGTGTGTAGTCGCGTGGTGGTGGCCAGTGGGGGGGGCGCGCGGCCCAACACGCTCGCCGGACACGTCGCCGAGCATTCGCTGCACTCGCTCGCTGACTTCGAGCGCGCCGTACACGTCCTTAGCAATAATGGTACGCTTAAATAACTTGCATTTCTAGGTTTATTTGCAATTGACTTTACTGACGAAGGCTCATAGACTACTATTGTATTTGACGTTTCAAAGGGATCTGTTTCCGTATCGTATTATTTAAATATGTAATTTTAGTAATCTTTATTGGATATGACAAGGGCACGGACCCCGAGTCCGTGGAGATTGTACCTAAATGATGAATTATCATCATTTAGGTAAAGTCAAAAAGGGATCTGTTTTTGGGTTGGTTGGAATAAATCGTCAACGTCGCTGGCCTTTTGGGGATTTGGGGTTTCGGATATTTAAGGATTGGAAAGGGATGGGAAGAGGGAAAGGGATTGCTCTTCTAGTACTCTACAACGCTGTAGTTGTTTCACGCCGCTATTCTGTGAGGGCGTGGTATCACTCCGGTTGAGCCGACCCACCCGTGTCGAAGCTTGGGTCTCCCACATACCAATATATTCATATATATATTGAATAACTATTTTATGAGGTAAATGAGCGATTGAGAGTCTGTAGTAGAGAATGATTTGTAGTAGTTAGATGTTTTGATAAATATAAAGTATGGTGTACGTGGTGCAGAGTCAGCGCGTGAGTATGGCGCGCTGGTGGTGGGGTCGGGCGTGAGCGCGGCGGACGGCGTGTGGCTGGCGCGGCGCGCCGCCCTGCGCCTGCGACACCTGCACCGCGCGCCCGCAGACGCACTCGCGCGACTGCATCCTGCAGCCTACCCTGACTACTGCCAGGTAACACATACTCTTATATAGATTAACAAATCACTACTAGCTTGCAGTCATGCAACATAATATCCTGTATAGAACATTCAATACAAACCACCGAAGTTTTTCATAAGCAATTTTTGCCTTATGAGTCTTTCATCAGTTAATTAAAGCGTCCCCTGTACTAACTTTTAAACTTTCGCGTTTCATACTAACTTTTATTTACGCGGGCATTAACGCGGAATATCATTAATTGAATACCTTAGCAGGCTTGACGTTTCGACCCGGTTGTACTGGTCGTGGTCCGTGGTCACAAGCAGACTGAAGACGCGATGTCACAGCTCCCTGCATTCCCCTGTAATCAAAAAGCCTAACATATTACTGGACACAGGTCCAAAACTTCGTACTACTACCGAGAAATTGTCGAAAAACCAAATAAAAGCATCTACCCAATATTAGACGGCGAAATGTACGTCGCAAGCCTAGTCAGTGCGAGTGACAGCACTAACTGTCACATAGAAAATGTGACAGATAAGTTAATTTTCATACCCCAAAGATGTAACGGTCCTTCGAATACAGAATTTTAACTACGATTTGTCAGAATTCAAAAATGAACAAAATAAATATTTGACCTCTGATGACCTTACACGGCGACACACAACGCTGTGGCTGTTTCACGCCGGTTTTCTGTGAATACGTAGTATCACTCTGGTCGAGCCGACCCATTCGTACCAAACCATTCTTGCTCTCCTACACTTCAACTGTTACCTCGTAACTTGTAATAATTCAACTTTATCCTACATTCCAGGTGTACAAAATGATGTGCGACGGTCCCGGCGGCAACCACGAGAACTACACGCCCTACCCACACCACACCATCGTAGAGGTCACACCTGTCGACCCACGACACAATGACGACATCGACGACTACGCCCTCTGTCTGAAGAGGGTCAAACTACTTGACCTCAACACTAACGAAATCACAGAAATACAAGTATACGTCATTGGCGTCTTCATAGGGTCCAAACCAGACCTTTTCTTCTTACAAACTAACTACCTCGACTGCATAGATATCAAGATAGACTGCACAAAATGCATCGACGAATCCAAACCCACCAACCGCAAGATGGAAGAGAAACAATGCTTCCTCAAAAACCACTGGCATTTCCTCAAGTCTATGCTGGGACAAAGCATCCAGAGTTGCAAGTCGAGATATTTAAATTATTCAGAAATTAATGGCAACACTGACACAAAATGCGTGATACCGGACTGTAATAAGCTTAATGTTGATAAGAATGAGAGAAATAATGTGATGGACAAATGTCAAATCATTCCATATACGGATGAGGAAAAGGTGAAATGTACCTGCGAGGCTGTCAATCCATATTCTTCGGGGCTGGGCTTCGGTTTAGACCCGAAGAAGCCGGTCGACGGGAGGAGTAACCCCATAGCAATAGACAAGTCCTCTCACGAGATACTGAACGGGCCGGAGGGCATGTACGCCCTCGGCCCTCTCACGGCGGACAACTTCGTGCGCTTCATCCCCGGCGGGGCCCTCGCCCTCGTCTCACACATGCATCAGAACAAACACTGACTTGCCATAACCAGTAATGTGATTATAATATTTAATTCGTTTTTTCTTTACAATAAATTATTTTTTATACCCAGTATTTTGTCGTTTTTATTACGTGGCTTCCACTACTATAGATATAAGCTTGATAATTTAGTTTGTTTATGTTGAAGAAGAAGCTAAGGCTAGAATTGCTCAAGAGAGCATAGGCAATGCATTCTTTAATGATTATCCTTTATAATGTGTATTTTTTATTTTTGTTTTGATTTTAGTTTTGTTTTTTAATGTTATATAAAGTACTTAATTAGCTAGTAAGTAAAACAAATGAGCGCTTCTCGTCGTTAAACGTTATGTTTGGCGAGGATCTTTAATTATAAGAACAAAATGTTATTACTAAAATTGTACTTTTTGCTAAATAAAATAAATAAATAATATATAAGCCAACTTAGAAGGCCCACAGAAGCTAGTATACCAACCTTATTCTTGACTAGCTTCTGCCAGCGACTTCGTCCGCGTGAAATAGTGATTTTTCGCAGATTTTTGGTTTTGCTTACATATTTCCCGATCTCGTAGGGAACGGGAATAGGGAAGTTCACCTCCCGGGATAAAAATATCCTATGTCCTTTCCCGAGTTTCAAACTATGTCTGTACAAAATTTTATCCAAATCGGTTCAGTAGTTTAGGTGTGAAACAGTGACAGACAGATAGACTGAGTTGATTAAAATAAAATAAACACACACAATTTTGAGAAAAACTTCCAGCAATACATTGAAACATCTTAAAATCCGATAAGTTATTGATTTTTAGCATGTTATAAGTTCCTGGCAATCTATCAAGAGTTACACGTGTTATTATATAGTATATAGTTTATTTATTGAATTATGGACAACCAGTAGCTGCTACATTATTTCTTACATCTAAACATTAAATACACTATAATAACATTAAATGTACAGCATTTTAAGGTGTCACAACATGTATTTTGTAAAATATTTCGTATTGACACAAAAAATAATTAATAATAAAAGAAAGAATATAATTTAAAATAATAGGAAGAGTAATAAGATAGAAAGATAGACATATACTGTTGTAGAATATTTTGAAGACAATTTTATGTTGAATATTAACGTGACACACGATTCCTATGTAACTTTAACCATTAAGTTACCACCTCCCCACGAATTGGGAGGTGTGAGTACTGCCGGACTCTTACCGGCTAAAACCCCTCCTGCTGTTTCTGGGTGCTCCTCTGACATGATCAGAGATCTGTGACTGTCAAGTTATGTTTTTGGTGCCAATGAATATGTTGTAACAGGTAGTGTAGGTTAGGTAGAGTAGGGTAGAAAGTAAAATAACGGGAGCGACGCCGCGGGTAAGAGCTAGTTTGTAATAAATTAATAAACTTAAACAGCATAATATGTAACAATAATTTTAATCAAATTTATAATTGAATTAAATTTCGATTTATAAATACTTAGGTTATTACCTAGTCATTTATCGTATTCCTGTCTGCTAAATAGCTGTACAGTTTTCCCGAAAAGTTCGTCGTACCTACAGTCATATATAGGTAGGTATTGTTTTTGGGAAAACCTCAGTTTGCCGCACCTGTCCAAAATCCCAGTAACTAACTGCGTTTTACCTTCTACATTAACTTATTTATTATCCACTGGCAATCCACTCCGACTTAAATTAATCCACTATTTAATGGATGTCGTTATAGGTACATATGTAATCTTGATTACCCGGAGGTTAAGGCGCCAATGTGAACGCCTTTTTCTGAGTTAGTATCTATGAACTTTCTGTGATTATATTATTAAGACACCACTGACATTCGGTGAAGGAACACAGCATCGTGAGGAAACCTGGACTTTGAATCATGAGGAAACCTGGATTGTAATGGAATGGGAAGAGAGAAGTGGGGGAGAGGTCCGATAACCTCACTGACACGGCGAAACACAACGATGTCGATGTTTCACGCTTTGGTTTCACGCCGGTTTTCGAAACAACATCACGCAACAGTTGAATTGGAGGGAAAAGCCCACGTTACGGGCTAGTAACAAGTAATTAGGTACAGTCAGCACAAAAAACTGTGAACACATTCAATTTTTAAAACCACTATATCTATACTAATATTATAAAGAGGTAAAATTTGTAAGTTTTTAAGTTTGTATGTTTGTAAGTTTATATGTAGGGGTAATCTTTGGAACCGCTGGTCGGATTTCCAAAATTCTTTAACTGATAAATAGCTACAATGTTCCTCAGTGCTATAGGGTACAAAACATCACGCTCCGATTAAATAGAACCGAGCAGCGGGTGAAACCACGGGAGAGTAGCTAGTCACCCATAAATCACCTTACAAAATAGGGCCAGTATTGAATAAACATAATTAAAGTTCAAAATAAACTAAACACTAGTCGTCAAATGTCACTGAATACCATTTTATATTATTATTTAGTTTGGAAATCTAAATGTGGTCATCAACTTTTGATGCGGACCGTACCTATAGGATCATTCTACCTATATTTATTAATTTTCCCCCTGATAACCCTAAATTGTACCTGGTATATGTTACCTTGTTCGTTTCCTTGTAGAACAGAGTACCTACAAATTCTGAATAACTAAAGTAACAACTAGTTTGCAAACAGCAGCTGTTGTAAAAAAAACCGTTTTTGACAACCGTTTTCGGCATCGATATTGTATTGTTTTTTTTTTTTGGTAGGTAGAGCCAAAGTTATTTAAAACAACGAATCGTCTCCTCAAGTGAGTTAACTGAGACAAGCTCAACTAATTTCGAGTCACAACGGGCCTCTTATTCCGAATTTAAATAGTAATTACAAATGGACAGACATACAGAGAAACATGAGGAATCTATATAACAAACATTTCTTAAAGGTCGGTCGTATTTCATATTATAGGTCGTCAAACGAGCAAGCGGGTTACCTGATGGTAAGCAATCAGCGCCGCCCATGGACACCCGCAACAACGGAGGAGTTACAAGTGCGGTGCCGATCTTTTGGGGATTAGGGATTTGAAGATTTTGGGATGGGGGAGGGGAAGCATTGGGCCTCCGGTAACCTATCACTCACGTGGTGAAACACAACGCCTGTAATTGTTTCAAGTCGGTTTTCTGTGAGGTATGAACTATCTCTCTGGTCGAGCCAACTTATTCGCGCCGAAACACTGAAGAACGACTTTTGGATAACAAAACGAGTTGAACTCACTCTCAACCAACAACCGTAAATATTTTAAAAATAATTTCCAAATTATAAAACAAGTACCTACACGTTGTCCGTTCATCGCAAAATGTATTATCAATTATCGCAAACAACGTTTGTGGCAACGAACAACGTTGTCATGAAAACAGTTACCTTTCCTTATCCTCGGCTATAAAATCGGCAACGATCGGTGACCGCCTACTACTGTCTAGTTTGCTCCGGACTGTAAACATTAACATTTCGGGCCATTCGCGGGAATTTCAAAATTGCCGTACGCACGGTGCTATTTTTTGCCGAGTAACATTAAGTGAATTTCTTTCGTGATAATACACGTACATAACTGTTGTAACAATGCCATTCGAGCTGTTTGTAAATGATGTTAATGAGAAGGGGGAAAAGTATCTCCTTAAATCCATTCATTCGAATTCTCCCGTGGATGTCAGCTTCACAAATCTGACATCGCGTCCGGTGAACTTGTGGTGGCGTAACTTTGAGGGCAGGAAAGTATTTTACGGTCGGATTGAACCGGGCGCTAAACACGACCAGTCCACGTACTTGACACACCCGTGGCAGGTCACTGATGTCTGTACCGAGCAGTACCTCATGATTGACAACAGGCTAATATTCAGAGTGCCGTCGGAGAACGTGGGCCGTGCCAGGCAGAATTACAACATCACCGCGCCCGACTCTTGCTGTTCTCATATTTCTCATGAGTCTGCCTGTGGAAACGTCTACTAGACTCGCTCATTCTTCTCCTTTCTGTCTGGCATTTGTTGCAACCCCAGCATGGAGTCGAGACTGATTGTCTACGCGGAGCTGTGTCGTGAAGAAGGTGTTTCAAGAGTTGGTACATTAAATCTGACTGTTTCTGACGATGGACGAAGGTCTAGACAGAAAGTGAGAGAATACTGCTGCAATTAAATTAATTTAATGTTATGGTAATTTACTCAAAACTTGGTTCTGTAACTTCTGTACTTATAAGGAGCTATTCCATAATTGCATTATGTAAAAACTTAACCATAACTATTAATGTTCCTTTTTACATTTAGGTATCAATATCTTTTTTCTCTTTATCTGCCAAACTGTACCTACCTATAATTATATGAGTTGCATCAGTAATTAATGCGTGTAAGTTTACATACGGACATCAGTGTACACCTATAGAAAATAAGGGACATTTATCTTTCATAGTTTTTCATTAAATGACGTTTTTCCATGAAGTGTTGTTTTTATTTTTACCTGCTTTTATAGTTGGGGTTTCGGGACAATTTGTTGGTCCCCCGTTCCTCTCCCTTCTCCTGGTCTAGGCCGAGACCGAGGTGGCTCATTGCGCTTACCTCGCAACCCCTGCTGAACATCAGCCCTATAGGGCCCTTCCGTGGTAACCACTAAGGCACCTATGTAGAGATATCAGAGGGAGTTTGCCATTTTTACTACTAGGTACTTAATTCGATATGATTGCATTCCTATACAATTCAAGTAATTTTATGTTGTTAAGAAGTTACTCGTTACAAATTTATGATTGATATTAGTTATCTTTCGAAAACAACAACAAAAAATAGAGAAATTGAAACACCAGCCATAGTTTCAGATGAAAGGATTGATTCTAACTCGTTGAAAATAACTCCAGGAGATTATGTTATAATTATTATTGATGAAAGAAAATTTTGCGGGTGTAGTAATGGATGTTATAAACGAAACAAAAAATAAAACTATGACCATAACCGGTTTCGAGCTAAGTGGGCGAGTGAATTAGCGTTGGCTTGAAAAAGATGATAATTATTTTAATATAGGATGCTAAAGAAGTTCTCAAAAAAATTAAGGCTCCTATGGCGGTAAATAAAAGAGGCGTATTTTCTGTTCAATGTTTAGACGTTGATGATAAAATTATAGTCTTTAACTGATTATTTCATATATCTATAAATAAATATACGAATTTAATATAGTTCTCTAATAAATCGATGTGAGTTCATATTGATCTGATTAAAGTACCTACAACGTTACTTTAGGTAGGTACCTACCTACCTAAAATATAAATATAGACTGATGATGAAATTTTAGACTCATAAACGGATTATTTAAATAAATAGTAATAAATCAATGAATATAATATAGTTCACTAAGTGGAAGTAAGTTCAATTTGATTAAATGAAAGTTTAAATTTACTATAAGTAGGTCCTACCTAAAAAAATAAATAAACTGTTTTCCTACAATTATAGAAAAAAGTTGTTTTATTTAGAACACGTCGCGCTAAATGTTTTGTATTTCACAACTTCCTGCAGAAAAATAGCATTTTTCTGCATACTATACTATACTACCTATGCCGAAATTACCAGCATTTACGGAATTACCTGGAGAGTCAAATTTCATCCCGTAATAACGGACATTTATACAAGGTCTAGAAAAATTACGATATTTTTTTCAAAATAGTTTAAGTACCTTCAGTAGGTGTGACATAATAAAAATTCACAGATAATCTGATAAAAGACATAGACACACACATTACGCTATGACTAATAGGAGCAGAGCAGTAACAAAAAATGTTGCACAAACGCGTATATTGGCCCATTATTTTAACAGGCGCTTATTTATATCAACTGAAACTGAACTCCATGCGAACTTAGTCGCGGGCAACAGCTAGTAATAAATAATGAAGTAGATACCTATCTATTTATAAATGTTTCGTCGATAACATTGTTCTGAAACTAATGCGATTTCGGTATGAATTCATTTTTGTATACCTACCTCTCAGAATACAGAGTTTGTTCTGTATTCTGAGACCTACCTAAGTGTGATTCCCTGTCTTAGTTAGTCACTTAATTGGGTAGTTAAAATAAGGAAAACACATTTGTAAAATAGGTATCTAGATCATTGGTTTTACCTACCTAACAACGAACGTATCTGCAAAGCAGCTAAGTTTTAATTGTGTTGTTTTATGTGATTGGTCGGCTAGCATGTATACCTATATTACCATTGCAATCAGCCATGGACACCCGCAACACCAGAGGAGTTAGGGTGCAGTTCCATTGAGGCGGAGCGGAGCAGAGCGTCTTTGTTCCATCACATCTGTTCTCCAATGTGGATTTCAAGCCATGTGATTGGTGAATCGCGGCGGAATTAAGAGTGCGTTACCAGCCTTTTGGAGATTACGGCGAAACCCAACGCTGTAGTTGTTTCACGCTAGTTTTGATTGAGGCTGTGGTATCACTCCGGTTGACCCATTCGTGTCAAAAAGGCTCTCCGTACCTTACAATTAAAAAATTGAATGGAATAAGGAGTGAATTGTGGAATCGACCGGAGTGATACCACGGCCTAACAGAAAACCGTGTAATAACCACAGCGTTGTTTCGCCGAATGCGTGAGGTTACCGGAGGCCCAATCCTTCCCCTCCCCCGATCCCTAAATCTCCAATGCCCTAAAAAGTTGGCAACGCACTCGTAATTCCTCCGCTGCGGTTATCCATGGGCGGCGCTGATTGCTTACCATTAGGTAATCCGTGTGCTCGTTTGCCGACTTATTACATTAAAAAAACACACACCACATATTATGCAGGCCTTAATAATTTAAGGAGAAATAAAACACGTATTGTAATTTATTGACTTCACATCAAACATTGAGATGTTTTATTGTTATGTATACATACACATTTTCATTACTTGTAAGTATAATAACTAATATAATTTATAAATATGACCTTACCAACAATCATTAAAATTAATTTGCATGGCACAAAAAACTATACAATAATAAAAACACTCCAAAGTTTCAATATAAAAAAATATTATAAATTTTTAATTTATAATTTCTATCATAAAAATAAAAAATATTTTTTTAAGTTTCTACATAAAGATATATATAATATCATATGAGAACATTGCATTATAGTAGTCTTATGTATTAACACGAAGATCTATTGACACGTAATCACACGTTAATTAATTGGACATCAAAATTACTAACACTGTATATGGTTACATTTACTTAGTAAGCGACTCCATACATGGTTTCTCAATTATACTGACAGGCAATCTTGTGTCTACTAGTCTAAATAATCCATTAAATGCACAGATCCACAGTAAAATACATGCAGAATACATTAAAACATTGGTTACATTATGTACTTCTCTATGAATTAAAATAGGTATAGTATTCTAGTAATTGGTGACACATATTTCGATAACTATTAACAGTTTTTAATTTTTTTTCCTCTATTCTATAGTGTCAGTAACTTAATTATCTTCCTTAAAATATTATGGATTTCCATGCATATAAATATTGTGTTCATCTTCATTACTATACAACAGACAGACAGATATATCGCACATGATTATTTATAAACAATAAACTATAAAAAATTAAAACTGTTATGTGAGTATACTTCAACATTATCATCACAAAAAATAATCTAATTCCTATGACCTCTGCAAATGTGTTGTGACACATTAATTTAGGTTAAAAGTATATACTTATAGTATATAGTGATAAAGATATATTTTATATACAGTTACTCAATACTCTCTGTATGTTTTACATACATTAATAGTTTAAAATGAAAATTATTGTACATACAAGCCACCCAGACCCAGATATAAAATATAAAAGAAATAGTTTTAGAGTTAAACATAAGTATAGTAGAAAAGTAGCAGAATATAGAATTTTCACAAAATATCTATTGCAAGCTGTAATAATATTAACAGGAGAAGAATTAAAAAGGTTTAGTACCATTTGTATTTCTCATTTTTTTCTTGATGTCTCAACTAGCTGAGCAAAATGTATGAAATATCAATCAAATATGTTATCTTTCCAATGTATATACTGTTAATAGCAGCGTGAATGCTATAGCAATCAAGATTGTTAATTAATGACTCTTCATTATGAGTTATCAAATTAGCTGTACCACATACAATAATATAAGTCAATATAAACTAAAGTAATTTTGATAAATGCAATAAACAATGACAATACATAGGTAAATTAGTGCCTACAGTTACATTATTTCACTTTCAGTATTTTCTCACTTTCCTTTTAGAGCACCATCCATAATTTCTTAATGAAACATCCCGACTAGTTGTAACAATTTTAGAACACCTTCCTCACAACACTCTGCTCCGCGTAGTCAATCAGACTCGACTCCACGCTGGGGTTTTGCAATGCATTCAACAGATGCCAGACAGAAAAGAAAAGAATTATCAAACCTATTTTATGAGACCTTTTCACAGACACACACCAGAGCAGCATCAAACCGGCCAGTGTGAGCAGCAGCACCACCACTGGCATGTACAGCCATCACCAAGTGTTGTCAGGGTTCTCCTCTACAGGAGGCTGTCTGCGCATGCTAGCAGCCAGCTCTGCCAGCTCTCGGGACAATATGTTAGGCAGGTCCAGCTCAGAAGCTGCCTCTGGGTTGGGCAGCAGCGACGCCAGTGTCAACATAGCCGTGCTCTTCAAGGAGCGCACAGACACGGTGATGTTCCAGTTCGTCCGGTACCGGAGGTCGCCCGCGCGCTCCGGTGCCCTGAATACGAACTTGTTGTTGATCACGTAGTGCTCCCCGGTCGATGCGTCAGTGAACTCCCAAGGGTGTGTTAAGTACGAGTTGATATCGTAGAACGCACCCGGCTCCATCCGCTCGTAAAATCGTTTCTTCCCAGCAAAATCACGCCACCACACGTCCACCGGACGCGATGTTAGATTTGTGAAGCGAAGATACGCTTGGTGATCTGAATTTATCGATTTAACGAGAACATTCTCACCCTTTTCATTAACTTCGTATACAAGCTCGTCGTTTATAGCCATTGTTATAAATTATATATATATTAGCACGTAGATAATTCAATGCCAATTAATTTTACTCGGCAAAAAGCAGCCCAGTGCGCACCACAATTTCGAAATTCCCGCGAATGGCGAGAAATGTCAGTGTAGCGTTATAGCCTGGAGAACACTTCCGCCGAACTATTGTCAACAATGGCAGTCTGTGTCGCAGTTATCGGCAAAGATGTGAGTATTAATTGCATTACCACACGCAAAAACTACGTTATATGTTTCATACCGATCACAGGCACACTCTACGTTTAAAATTACACCATATTAAAACATAATTGTACTAAATCCTGTCACTGACGAAAACCCCAATGTATTATTTTCCAAGTCTCACACGTCACTTCAGGATACAAACATGATGACGTCATTTGCATAGATAAAACAACACAGACACACTTTAATATTATTCTCACCACATAGATTTATTGTTTCGAAATATTAATCGCAAAAATACGTATCTTTACGATTTTACAAGAAACTAGAAAATTATTGAAAACTGCCATCGAAAACAAAATGACATCTCTATTCTTGCCAATGTAAAATAAAATTCCCCCATATTAATTTTTATTCAAGTGACTAAAAATTATAATGTTTGCTTTCCAGAATTCGCCTTTATACATCGGCGGTATCGGCAACGATACAAGTACTGATAATGAGCTATCACGGCAATGGCTTGTGCACACTGCATTGGATGCCCTGGAAGAGAGACTTGCAAGTACTAACGCTAATAACACAGGTGCTAATACGAACGCCGCCCGCACCGATCTGAGAGATCTGTACTTAGGTCTGCTATATTCAACTGACACTCATAAAATGTAAGCAATAATGTCAGGCAAACAATGAAAGTGAAATTCTAAACAATTAACCAATTATTAGTATGTTAAGCCTACTTTTCAGTTTTAATTATTTAATTTCAGTTACGGCTACGTGACAAATACGCGTATCAAGCTGGTTCTAGTGACCTCTTCCACGTCTCCCAGCGGCTCTAATATTCGTGATGCCGAAGTGAGGACCGCACTTCGCCGCCTGCACGCACTCTATGCTGATGCTATCTGCAACCCATTCCATTTGCCTGGAGATCAAATTACTTCCCCGTAAGATCATTTTGTATTTATCATGTCTTATTTCTGTCGTAAATGTTTTAAAATACATAATTATTAGTTAACAATGTTAATAAGTAACCTAATCAATGCAATTTTATCTACAGGAAATTCGACAAGCAAGTCAAGAATATTATGCTAAACAACGTTTGATCCTAGTTTCCTCCGTTGTGCTTATTAAGTACGTACAGTCAACGTCACTTGAAGACACTTCTATTTTCACTGGTATTCATTACATTATTAAATAATGTTTTTTAATTTAAATGTAAGTACTTTATTATCCTTAATGCCGTTTAAATATGAAAACATTATTTTTATGATTGATGCTTCCATTGCCTGTGTCATATTCTGTACTGTATACAATTTCGTTATAAACGTTAGTGTAATATTATATACCTATTTATCTACCTATAAGTTTATTGACATCACAATAATGATGTTTGACTGTATATATCCATAATGCTTAATAAATTAAACTTTATTTACAAGCACTTTAATTTCTATTTTATTTCGTTCCTCTACCTAGCAATATTTAGATTACAAAATATTGTTAGTAATTTAGGTTAGTAGAATAATTATCTTTGTAAATAATTTAACATTGTTTTATGAAGGGATTTCTATAGTTAATTGAGCGTGTCAAATTAGGGTCATATGGGGAATACCAATTAATAATATATCCAACATATACCTACCGTAGATGAAAGGGCTAATAAAATGTATACTAAATTTTTTTACTACACGTTATCAATTTCATCAATACATTTAAGGAAATAGGTTAATAAAGGAAGTGTATTTTAATAACTATGCATTCGTGTTTTATGACATGGGGATTTTAACGGAGTCTCGTATAAATCAATGAAAACATGGACCAGTCATATAGTCCTACTTGAAAAAAACCATTTAAACATTAAATTTAACATAATTTTTAATAAAATATATATTATTTTAAGTTAAGTCGAATCCACTCCAATCTCAAGTCAAATAATTATAATTTATAACAGAGATCTCAAAGAAGTTCGAGCAAAAAGGTCCTTTGAAGAAACGGTCAAATTACCTGCAATATGGCACAATTTTGTTGTAGTAACACTTGAAAACCATAGAGTTACAATTGAACATTCACACGTTTTATTGCACTCAACCGATTCGGAATAGATAATTTCATTTTAACGAATTTCTTTCGTAGTTATATTATTATATCAGATTTATTTAATGTTAGTATTTAAACTACAACACTGTTGCTTTTGACTGATTTAATTACAATGATAAATCGTAAGAAATATAAAAAAATACGATTTTGCTCTCCAAATAACGAAACGTAAATTATGAATGTTGAAATGTCGAACATTTTATCATACTCTTTCTCTTTCATTCATGAAGTGAAGTGAAGCTGTGCTCCGGTTCAGCGCTGTGCAATTTTCCCTTTAAATTGTTTATCTCGACCGGAATACCGCAACAAAATGGTAAATTAATATGTTTTTATTACCCGGGTATATCAAAATTAATATTTCTTGATGAATTTTGACATTGAACTATGTTTTAAAATTCAAGAAATTTTGAGGTTAACTATGCACGTGTCAACAATCAACTTCTAGCGGGAAGTTTTTATTTTACTTTGAATAAAGCTTTAAATCACTACTACTGAACTGTTAAAGCCTAAAAACTTCTCAATGATGGATATACAAATTATACAACACCTCATGTTAGTTCTGGAATGAAAATCTTCCCTTGATAGTTACGCCAAATGTTCCTCTGAAAATGACATAACATTAGCAGAGCCTATTTATATCAGGACCTCTACTAATTACAGATAAGGTTTTTCAAACTGAGTATGTATGTCACTAATTCTAGGCAGCCGCTGTCGTGTCAGGCAAGGACATTGAGAAGCCTCAGGCTGAGATCTCACCCATCCACCGCATCAGGATCACCCTGACCTCCCGCAACGTGCGCTCATTGGAGAAGGTGTGCGCTGACCTCATCAACGGTGCCAAGAAACAGAAGCTCCGTGTTAAGGTGAGATGATGTATTTGAAGGATAATTAATTGCCACCACAAATCATGGCAATAGTGTTTTGGTGTGGATAGGTTCACTTTGTATATTGTTAATTCCTTTTGCTATTATTTGGGGTTACTTACTTTTTTGCTATTATTTGGCCAATACACTATTCAGGAACTAACTTTCAACATAAAATAAGCCTGTAAATGTGTTGTGGACTTACACCTCCCAACACTGCATAGGTATTCTTGTAAATTTTTTGTGTTGTGCACTCGAGACTTTATGTTAAGTTTTTATATGAAGCAAGCCAGATTTGAACCCAACAAATTCATAAAAATAACAACCTTGAACAAATGTGATGATTAATGCTCATTTTTCATTGTAAAAAAGAGAAGACAAACTGTAATCCGAGTTCCTAGTGCAAGTTTGTTTTACTTTAGAGCTTATGTCTTTAGCGCTAAAGTCTACAAAGTGCTCTGATTAACCAGCTCCATGTTGACCCACCAACAAGAGGATTAAATGTGATTATGTCCTAATTGTGCAGCACCTATGGAAAGAAATCTCACACATAGCATTCGAGCTGTTCTAAATCTTTGTAAGTCCCAAGTAGCAACGGTAGTTGCACATGAAAATAGTGATAGCACCACTTGTTACCTTACACAACATGTGCTATGCTGTTGTGTTCACTGTCGGTGCTAGAGTGATACTCTCGAAAGTGCTTTATGCTTGTACGCACACAGCATATTGTTCATCTGAGAGTTACACACTTAAACATTAATCTCGTAATGGCATTAACTAATTTTATAGCACTGCGATTCTTACACCTGCTTTTCAATTCATTGTTAAGTGTTTATATAGCATGATTGTCCCTACAAACATTCCAGACTGCTCAACTGATTTTAAATGGTAAACAAACATTTTAACTCAACCAATTTTAGCTCACAAAAGTACATTTTTCAAAGAGAGCTCAGTAAGATTAGCAGGGTAAAGAATAACAATTTTAAGTTTACAAATCACAACCAACTGTTTATTTTAACGATAATGATATTTCGAAAATGTGGGTAGCTATGTTTTTATACCTTTGAGACCCTAAGATATCCAGATTTGCAGATCCTTAGTTTCCATGATATTGGATTTGAAAGAATGTATGGGCACTCATGTTGATTAAACACTTGATAGATTTGCCTGATATGGAATGATGTCATGCCAAATAGTGCACATAATTCCAAAATTTCTAAATGGAAAAAATTGTTGAAGCTGGCTCCAAAATCATTTTTTCTTGCTTTTTTATGCTCAATGCCTAATTTTAACGTGTTAATTCCAGGGCCCCGTGCGTATGCCAACCAAGGTGCTCCGCATCACCACCCGTAAGACCCCTTGTGGTGAGGGTTCCAAGACCTGGGACCGCTTCCAGATGCGCATCCACAAGCGTGTGATCGACCTGCACTCGCCCTCTGAGATCGTGAAGCAGATCACCTCCATCAACATCGAGCCTGGTGTAGAAGTTGAAGTCACCATCGCCGACGCGTAGGCACAACTGCCTAATATATTTTCTTAAGGAAACTCTTGTGTTTTATTTCTGGCTTTAGTGCTGTGCAAAATTTTAAGTTACAGCTCTCAAAACATTTGTTTTATGAAGTGCACTATGGTCTTAGTTAACTGAAACTTTTAATCATGTTATAATATACTCCTTCTTTCTTAGAAGTCTCCTTTCCTAGTACTTTTTTGTACTAGAAAACATAATTAGCAAAGGAAATAACATACATAAAGTCGTAGTATCTGAAAACCTTAACAGATAAGCAAGATTAATTCATAACATAGTCTCTAATATGAGACAATTCACAATGATGAATTGTAGGTTATTTCTTGCGATAAATTAAGCTCAATTCTGTATGTACTGCTTTTCTAGACAGGAGATGATTCTGAAGGATTTCCCAATCAACACGTATGAAAGCAGTTATTACGTGACCTTGTAGCCACAGTGACATACTGACTAAAATAGCGCCTCTCTATTAAACAATTACAGTAGAGGTCCCGTCGCCTGCAGATTGACGTCTGCGCACAATTGGTGACACGCTACCCGACTTGTAATTATGATTTATTGAAACTTAGACAGCTACTACCGCTCGGTTTCACTCGCTGACAGATTCCGTAGCTTTATTTACGAATTACACCTAATTCTTAGGTAATGTAGGTAGTCACACAAGAAAAATATTCATAATTTACTAGACCTTGGCTATGGATACCTTAATGTGGCTAGTCTCATAATTTATTCTTCGATATGAGACTAGCCCACACTAAGGTAAGAGGAATTAAATTTGATCCAGTAGTTCTAGATATTAAAGCGTTCAACTGGAGTAAACTTCAGGACTTAGGCTTAAAAATACGTAGAAATTACGGAAATACATTTGAGGTAATTTAGTATCACCGACGAATTCGGTATCTAACCAACTTTGTGTAAAGGTATGTATTTTCTGTGTTCAACCGTATTTCAAAAAGGAGGTTTTTTCGCTGAAATATTTTCTAAGTAAAACTATTATTAAGCATATTCACCTACGAACTCTGTTTTAGCTCCCTAAGAGTGAAAATTCTATAATGAATCAACTACTTACAATCGGTACCATTGTAGGTACAATAGTATACCTACGTACTTATCTATCTGTACATCAACAGGAAAGATATTGTCCTCGCGTCCGGCCGTCCATCACGTACAACCTACATCAATCACTGAGCTCGCAACACGCGAGATGTCGGAAGCAACAGTAGATACACAACTAGGAGCCGGGTGTAATAAACAGCTAGGTAGTAGGTGTAGACATCAGCATATGAAGCTATACGGGCTTTTTACCGACGGATTACTTGATGGTAAGCATTCAGCACCGCCTGTTGCGCGGACACTCGCAAAAACAAAAGAGCTACGAGTGCGTTGCCGACTAGTGATGTAACGAATATTCTCATTCGCATTCGCATTCGCGAATATCCGCATATTTTTCAATATTCGCATTCGCAATCGCATTCGCAAAAAATATGCGAATATTTAGCGAATGTTTTTGATAATCAAACAGGAAATTATTATATGTATGTATATGAAATAATAATACAATAGATCACACTTAGATATTTTTATTAAATCATACTTCTACATTCTAAAAAAATAACAAAATAAACAAAAATAACTTCTTGAGATCTGATCAAATCTAACATTAAACAGCCTTGTTAGTTAGTTGTACTATGTAAGGTTTGCATTCATTTAGTAGTAGACACATTATTACTCTACTACTATTTTTAAATAAAGTATACAATTTCTATATACCAAATAACTAAACTATACCACTTGTAACAAAATTACTAAACTTAAAATATCTAATGTAAAAAAAATAATAATGTCAAACACTTTACGCGCGTTTCATTTGAAATTTTAAAATATTCGCATTCGCGAATGTTGAAGATAAATAAATAAATAAATATTCGTAATCGCATTCGCATTCGCGAATGTGAAAAATTCAACATTCGTTACATCACTATTGCCGACATTTTGGGGAGTTAGGGATTGGGGAAGGGCTGGGCCTCCGGTAACTTCACACGGCGAAAAACAACGCTGCGGTTGTTTTCTGTGAGCTTGTGGTCCGGTCGAGCCGACCCATTCATGCCGAAGCATAGCTCTCCCACACTTAGCCGAATGGTCGATAATCGAATTATAAAGAGAAAAAAAAATATTATTTTTTTGTTTGTTAATTTGGACCGAATAGGCTTCGAAACTACTTTTCTCGTAAGGAGCTACTGTGTAGGTAATGCTTGTGAATTAATTTTAGGTTTGCAAAAGCACTAAGATACGACAAGAGATTTCAATGGGATAGGACGCAAACAATGACGATGTGTCTATATTCTCTGTGAACGTAAAGGAGTAGTTTTTTTAGGTACCTGGTGGTAATCAATCTGCATCGCTCATGACCACCTTTTGAACGCAATACAAATGTATTGCGGTACCTACTCGTAACTCCTCTGTTGCGGGTTTCCATGGGCGGCGCTGCTTTCTTACCATCAGGTAATCCGTCTGCTCGTTTGCCGACCTATTACATAAAAAAAGTGGCAGTGGGCAAGAACCGATTACCTTTAGAGTAGTATTCTGGAGCGCAGACCCAGACCACATCTATCCAAACGTAGGGGGAAGGGAGGGATCCAGCTGGACTGAAGAAATTCGTAGGGTGGTGGAAGTCCAGTTTTCGCAATAAGGTGCGCTGGAGCAGGAATAGGGCGGTTTTTGGTCAATAAGAGTCTGACATTCCCTCTCGCCTTACTTGAGCAAGAAAATCAATTGATTTTCCCAAAAAAAGGAGTTTCTATGCAGTTTTTCTTCACCGTCTGTCAGTGGTATTTAATAATCTGAGAAAGTGAGATGTGTTTACCAGCACCAAACCCAGACCCGGAATACAAATAGTAACATGTGGATCTTACACAAAAAAAACGTGGTACATTTTTTTTAAAATGGCCGCCTGTCCTTTCTGTAATATTGTGAGTCACATTACCTGCCTACAATCAATACAATAACATGCAGGAGGCAGTTTTAAAACAATTGATGAGTAAGCTAAGCCCAAGGTTGAATGCATAGCCAATATTATAAGTATTATAACACAATAAAAAATATTTTGTAGGTACCTACCTACCTACCTATTTCATTTCAAACATTTTAAATGAATGGCGGGAGATCTGGACTGTAGAGATATTGTCTTTGCGACAACCAAAATTGCGTGAGCGAAAAAATTGGAAAATTTGGTTTGATTGTGCTTAACCGATTTGAAAAGTATTTCACTATTGAGAAGATACGCTATCATCGGAGAACAAAACTTACATAGTATTAAACAAAGTCGCTTTCTTTGTCTCTATATCTTAAATCTTTAAAACTACTCAACGGATTTTGATGAGATTCGAAGATTGATTATGAATATCCTTTAAATAGTAGAGAAATTTAGTATGAGCCTCGCACCCTTATCAATCTGGAGTGGGTCGCTAGTAATAAATGTATCTACACACAAACACACAGCTGGTTACATAAGACCTAATGGAAAAGCTAAACCTATATAACTACAGGTAATAGATTTTATGTAGATTTGTAAATTATTTCCATGTAGGTTTCAACCACCGCAAGCGCTGTAGGAGTCAACTTCCTAACCAAATGTACCTAATAAATAAAGATTAATGCAAATAGGAAGGTGTTGTTACTAGCAAGCGTCAATCATAATTATGGCGTACTTACGATACAAGTTTACGACCTACATACTGTGAAGCATATTGCGGAAGAGATTAGTCAGCTATTTTTTAAGCGGGGATAGTCATCATATTACTTCTCTCACCTTAAATAGTAAGAGAAGAGTCTTATACCTGACTAACTGACTGACTGAAAACCCCTCCGTGCCTTCTTCTGCTCCTTATAGTGTTTGGTCCACAGAACTTTAAAACTACAGACCTAGTATTTTTAAACAAGAAATGATTAAGCACGGTGGAGCTTGTCATTGGTTGTATTCACTATGCCAGTCTGAAGAAAATTAATTTACACGTAGGTACCTACTTAAAATATAAACCCGTGAATTGCCGGAACGTGGCTCTACATGAGACACAATGTGTTTTCTTTTGTGTCTCATATACCGGCAGACGATAGGTCATCATCAGCCTATAGATAAGTGTCCATTTGAGCAAAGGCCTTTTCTACACAAGAATCACCAGGATTGGTAAATGTGGATTGGCGATTTTCAACATGCAATAAGAAATTATGAGTCCAGGTTTCCTCACTATGTTTTCCTTTAACGTTTGTTTGATAAAACATCGGAAACAGTCACATGGTAGGTACTTGCGAGGTTCTTACTTGTGAAAAACGGATGCGTTAACTTTCAGACCAAATAGTCATTTCTACAGTAATCATCCCTAAACAAAACGGTTTTATTAAATCCTATTTTAGATTAATTACTATGAGTGAGTTTAATATTTTTTCAAATTACCAGGGTGCACACGAAGTGGCGAAGTGGAAAATCATGTTTACTGAAAAGACAGCGTGCTCATTCTAAATTCCACATAGATCATCTACATAGATACACATCAATATAGGTACAAAACGAAACAATTGGAATTGGAATAAAATTACCATAGCGACCGTGATTAAGCTTTAAAACTAAGTCATAAAACCCTAATTTGGATCTAGAACAAAGTCTGTACAGAATAGTCAAACAAATGTTAGAAAATTTACGATCCTAGTATGTTTACGAGACGAGCCGAAATAGATTAAAGAATGCTACAGAATTTAGCTAACGAACAATAAATTAACTTTGACAATGCGAATGATGCAACGATATAAAAATGCCTTGTCTCTAGCCGGCACCATACTCGATTGGCCATAGACAATCGGATGAAATATGGCCGCGATTATATTTCGGCAGTTTGTCATGAACGTGACCTTGATTTTTTAAGATTGTTATCAACCAATGGTTTATTGACAATATTATTATCTTATTTATTTTGAGAAACGGATATTACTTACCG